TGATTTTGTGAATATATCTAGAATTAAAAATGTGACATGGAATTTTATGTTAGGATGGTATGTTGTTAATTTGGAATACCGAAAGAGAGCATAATTTGGAATTAATTAGATGTTATTTTAGTTTATTTTAGTTAAAAAAGATTGATTATCTAAAGATCTAAAGACTATAAAACTGTTACAAAGATAAAAAAATCTATTAGTTTCTAAGGAAAAGTGTTAGGAAATGCCAAAACAAAAATGTGAATACAATTTGGAATACTATATTCCATTTATAATTAATTAGCTTTTCGGTTTGTATGTTTTGTCAACCAACAAACAAAAACAAATTTATAAAATACTCTCACCTAATTTAGAATACCAATTTTTGCTGGAATAAAAAAAAATTATATCTGTGTTCTGACTGATATATGGTGTACACACTGTGTACTGTACAAAGTGTACTGTATAATGTACCAATTATAACACAGTGGATTTCATTTATCACGACTTTGGTTATAGCGACCATTTTGTTAAACTATTTTTGTGATCTAAATCTAAATCTACCTCGACTATTTTTAGCTCCTGTTTCTGCTTCTAATATATTTCTAACTACCCTTCATGCCTGATAAGGTTTACTAATTCCTTATTGACTTCCACAGAAAGCTCTGCTCTCCTATTCTTTCTAATACCTCCTCACTACACTTGCCTCATTTTAAATAAATTCAGTACCCAAAATTCGCTTTTCAAAAACATTATTTCCTTTTTTCAGTAAGGCGCATAAAAAAGGACAAAAAGAGGGTTTAACTGTGTATCTGTTTCATTGAAAAATAGAAGGTTAGAAATGAAGAGGTATTAGAAAGAATAGGAGAACAGAGGACTCTGTGGAAGTCAATAAAAAATAGGCGAGATAGGTTGGTAGGACACCTCAGGCATGAAGGTCTAGTCAGAGACAGAAGTTAGGAGGGGTAAAGTTAGACCTAAATTAGATTACTGTTCGCAAATAGTNCTAGCAACATCGGGAACCTCTATTTTATTTAAATTATTATCATTAGTGAGCTATGGTATATTCTTAGGTTTATGAAAAAACGGAATGACGTTCCGAATGTTTCTATCTTTTACCTTTGATAGTTAAACGTAATCAAATTCAAACTCGAATCATATTGGACGATTTGTAATCGAAAGAGAGGTTAAATCTTTCCGTCGCTGGAGTAAAATGACGTAAAACGATAAAGAAACGAAAACAGTGTAATGTGCTGGTAATAAATTTAGATACCGATATAAAACATTCGCATATTTATCGTGCATTGTCTGAGATACAGATGAAAACCACAAATTTTTGGGAATAAAAGAGTGACAAACGGCGAATAAATAAAGTCTCGTCGGGTAGTTTTCAGGCAACGTGAACAGGGAGGGTTGAAAGTGTATATAAACAGCTTATTTTACGGAGGATTAACTTTTATAATCTGTTGACAGAAAGTCTTTGCATTTTCGGAGACAGGTCGGGTCTCGCGGTTCAGCCCATTGTCGGAGATTTGGGGCAATTTTTGGCATGCGCGCGGGCGGGAAGGGCCGGCAATCCGTGCTTTTAAAACTTCCTACCGAACACTTACAACTTTCTTATTAGATTCCAGCGTTAAAATCTCCCAGATCCCGAGAAGGAAACTCTTAAGATCTAGTTAAGATGTACCTATCGGTCAGCCGGTATTCATCTTTTAATTTCCCAAATGTAGTTACAATATACAACGACATTTTAACTTTTAACTCAAGAGACAGGAACAGAATTAATTGAAACATGACTGGCAAACCAAAAAAATGAACTGATCTATATGTACAGAATTGGTTGAAATTGATATAGTTGATTCTTCCACAATATTTTTTTTTTATTTTATACGTGTAACTGCTCGGAAGGTAGAAGAATCTCCAATATTCATGGCCTATACGTGAGCTATCACGAACGATTGGAATTGTACCTACTCTTATAAATAAAACATCTTAATAACGACCCGACTTTTTAACAACCCAAATCACTGTAGGTACAGATTACAGATACCTATATATTATACGCACTGTTAAGANCCGACTTTTTAACAACCCAAATCACTGTAGGTACAGATTACAGATACCTATATATTATTATATTATTATAAATAATAAATATTTTTTGAGTTCCTAAATCGATAATGTTTTAATGTTAATCGTAGTGCATCATTGGTGAACACACGATATTGCAGTTTCCGTCGCCATATTATTGGTTACTAGCTCATCATATATCTCTGTGGCACTGATTCAAATAGTCAAATATCCATTTAAACCGTATTTAACAAAATAGCAACAATGTAAAAAACGTTTGCTACTATTTATATAACACTCAAAATGGTATTTCAGTATAGTTCTCATGAAATTTCACTAGAAAGATAATTCTCATGAAATTTCAATGGAAAGGTAGTTCTCATTTTATACATAACTAAACAAGATTCAACGTTTCAATTTAGCAGAAAAAGACGAAACTGTCTTTCCCGTTTTACCTTACCTCTTCCACTCCGCCCGACGAACCTCAAATCATTGAATTTAGCCACCTGATTCTTCATAACCGCAGTCGAGTTTCTAAGTTCTGCACAATAGTTTTCATCATTACCCGCCCTCACTGTCACGACGGTTCCGTCACCGATATCCCCCAAGGCGACCACTTTGAATGCAACCGGTAGAGTTTTGTTCGATCTCCAATGAGGAGGTAGAACCGTACAAACAAACAGGGGGCTGCCCGTCCTTATAAGTTCACCCGGGTGTTCGGCGAGGAAATCACTTAGGGTTCTTTCCGCCAAAATGTCAGAGGTCATCTTTGTGTAGGTCTCATTTATCAAATTTGTGCCTTCAGGAGACGACGCTGCACCTGGAGCGGTTTGGGAGGTAGTAGTCAAATGCATGGTTGATGTGTTCCAATCACCAAACATTCAGTAGAACCCAACGTTTGGTCAAGTACCTGTGAGTTTATTTTAAAGGCAAAGGTTGTAAAATAACTCGGAATCAATGTTCACCTAAAAGGTAACGCTTTATTTTCTTTCTAGATGTTCTTTTTGAGATGACAGGTTTATTATGCATAAACCATTTTAATTTTATTCATATTGATTAGTTTAATTATTATCTTAATGCGGGGAATTTACTTCAGCGGGCAATATTGTGTTTGCATTTGCACGATGTATTTTCCAAAAGTGATTTCCATGTTGATATCGGTTTCACCCCATCGATAGGCTTAGTGCCGCACGANATTTTAATTTTATTCATATTGATTAGTTTAATTATTATCTTAATGCGGGGAATTTACTTCAGCGGGCAATATTGTGTTTGCATTTGCACGATGTATTTTCCAAAAGTGATTTCCATGTTGATATCGGTTTCACCCCATCGATAGGCTTAGTGCCGCACGACCATCGGCGATTTTACATCACGGGGGTAGCATGTTACACATCCGACGGTTGCCCAGCAACCGGTGACGTAGTGTCAACACTTTTTCTGAATGAAACTTTTATAGGGGTGGGGTGAAAAAATCCGTCAGCACCACTACGCATTATCGTAATAAAAATGTGCACATGTTGAAGCGATAGAGCCGTCAGTTCTCTTTCACCCTGCGGCATTATTGGTACTTTTTTTCGCGGCACATCACAACTTTTTCACTTCACTGCACTTTCATTTCTCGTTTATTCAGCGCATCCGCAGGCAATGCAAACATGTATTTTGTGTGTACGTGTATGTTATCTTTTCATTTTGATGGATTTGATGCATAAGTTTCGAAAGCCTTGTGGTTTCGGAAACAAAGTTGTTAGTTTTTAGAAAGGATCGCTGTAGGTAATAGATAGATGATATTCTATCGCGTGTTATGTTGATGAACGTTTAATGCTTAAATGTCTATAACCGTTTTGATTACAAAAGACTCAAATAACGACTATGCCACACACGCTGAAAGTTTACGCACATGGTAAACAAAACCGAACTTTCCACTTACAGCGCGAGTAATAACGTGTCGAAGGGAACTCGAAAGTTCCTGTTTTGTTAGTCACTCAAGTGTTTCTAAATCAGAATTCGTGTGGGCTACTAAAGCTTGTAGGGACATTGCAATCACGCACTAAACACAGTTCGCGTATATATGACGTACAGAAGTTTAAAAGCGGCTTCCACCGCGTTCCTCTGTCCTTTTCCCGCGCCAAAAGCGCTACCCTGGCATTCCACAACGTATTTCTATACTCCAACTCTTCGCCAGTTTCATAAAGCAGAAGTTTGGTTGAACAAGCTCGATGCTTTAAGGGTTAGATAGCGATAGAACGTAACAGGTCGGTCGTAGCTCGCAGCGATAGGTAGTTGCGCCTTGATAACCCTTTGGTTATCACTAAAAGAGAGCCGCATGGCTGTGGCGCGGCCGGGAAAGAGACGGAAGAGGTACAGATTAAAACAGAAGCTAACATAAAGGGGTACGCGGCCAACTGAGATCGCAGATACTTATCGCGACGAGTTAGAGCGAGAATGCTGTGCTTGTGGTCAAGTGGGCTGTGCTTGGCGGTATCGAAAGAGCGAAGTATATAAATTAACGCGCGTTCGAGAGAGAAGACTGCCTCGCGGTTTTGCGGCGAGAACGAGACAGATAACAAGCCGCGCGCAAGCGTCACATACGTGGGAAGGAGATAGGTGTTAACTGTGAGGTTGGGTTTGCATGCATGTGTGCGTTTTGTTTGTTCCTATCGGTGGTCTACGGTAAACCTAAGTATGGGATCCCAGTTAGCGTGCTGTCGTTTGTTCTTCGTCCGCTTTTATGGCCGGATTTGTACCGAAAAATGAGGAAAAATTGTGAAAAGCTTTTTGATTGAGACCCATGCATTTTTAATAGAATGATCGGTGGATATTTCAGTTATTACTTTTAACACGTTCAAATTTATTTTAAAATTCCTCTTTGTGTATGGTTTGTTACAAAGGGTAATGCTATTCCTGTTTAACCGGAATCCAATAAAAGCGTTGTGAATGGAATAGATTTCCATCGGTATAAATTCAAATTTGAATTCATATCCATCGTTTAAAATTTGAGTAGATTTCTATACGTTTATAAAATTGTCTCATCGACAGTTTTTTATGAATGTACCTGTAGATCCTATTTAATCGTCGGAAAAATAATGCACAAAAGAAGTAAGTATAACTGTATATTGCAGCATCAACTCAAAACAATACAACGTGGTACAGGAAAATTCGTACAAATACCTTCACCTATCTTTCCTGTTTAGGACATACATAATTTAGTAGAGGAAAGTAACCAAGTATGGGCTACCATTTTGTTTTTGTCTCAAAAATAAAAAGATATTAAAAAATTAACCATTTATTGTCGTCAAAATAATCACACATATATTTTTAAAGAACTAAGTAACAATCTTATGTTCTTAATATTATAATATACCAGCGACCCGCCCTAGCTTCGCACGGGTGTAATGCTGATACTAAATATATTTTTGTTTTGTTTAGATTATTATCGAGAGGGGAAATCTTAAATAGACAACCCCTGAACACAT